TCTATTTTCTCTCTCTCTCTCTCTCTCTCTCTCTCTCTCTCTCATTGTTTTTCTCTTTCCACACCAGGACTGCTGTGAAGACAAAAGGGGGATAGAAGAACATGTTTGCTGCCTTGATTCCTTCAAGAAAGGTGGGATATAAATATAAATATTTATTTATACCTATTTATACCTATTTTTTATTATACGTTTGGAAGTATCTTCAGTTAAAATTGATATTGGTTTCTGGCACTGAGCAGTACCTTTATTTAGTGTATTGGGGATTAGGTGGTTAGCATCTTCATGGGAAAGTTAGGCTATCCTGAATTAAACTTTCCTGCAACTCTTTATATTTGGAAGAATGTGCCTCAGTTCCAGTGAACATTTTTGCAGAACACTGTATTTAGGATTACTTGTACAGACAGTCAGAAGAGTGGTGTGATGACTTGTCAAAGTTACTTCATAAAGTTGCCAAGTGTTCTGGCTTGACCTGGGGAGTCCACATTTGGCATGATTTTGCTTTATCTCCAGCTGTGAAAGCCCAGCAAATGCAGAGAAATTGGATCCAACTATAGACATCTGGCAAATATAGTTATAAGTGACATGAGCTAAATGGGACAGGACAGTGAGGGAAGAGTAATGACAAAATGTCCAACTGTAACTATCTATTAAGCAGTAATGTGAAAATAATCGCACACGACCAAGACCTTCCACATTCTTTTATTTCCAGTGTGGGTGTGAAAGCTGGGCAGTTAAGAAAGCTGACATGGAAAAAAATTGATTTGTTTGAAATGTCTGGAGGAGAGCTTTGTAGATACCCTGGACTGACAACTGGAGGAAAGCTTTGTAGATACCCTGGATTGACAGAAAGTGTGTCCTAGATCAAAACAAGCCTGAACTATCCTGGGAGACAAAAATGTGGAAAGTGAAACTCTCTTGCTTTGGACACAACATGAGAAGGCAGGATTCTCTAGAAAAGACAGTAATTCTGGGAAAGGTGAAAAGTAGCAGAAAAAGAAGAAGACCAGATACAAGATGGACTGATTCTCTTAAGGAAGCCACAGGCTTGAGTTTACAACAGCTTACTAGGGTAGCTGAAGACAGGGCATTTTGGAGATTGTTTATTCATAGTGTTGCTATAAGTCGGAGGTGACTTGGTGGCACATAACAACAACGATTCCATAAATACAGACAAGAAAACATAGTACTATGACACATCCATCCATCTGTTCAAACCACATTTACTCGGAAATAAGCTCTACTCATTTCGAATGAAATTATTTCAGAGTAAGAAAGAAGTGTCACAGCCCTCCATTTTGCTTTCAAGATCAGAAGGTATGGAGACAGCTGTAACAGTGGGTCTTTATAATGTTTCAGCGAAACAGTGCTATGGCAACTGAATTTCTTAAGCGCTCTGGTTTCAAGGCCCAAAGAAAAGGAAAGGGCCTGCTGAAGCAGCCACCTTAGAAGTGAGTTGTGGACTGGCCTTAAATTAAAAGCCAAAAGGCAGATACACACTGGTAAAATCCACCACCCTAGTGCTGTATATGCAAGATGCAGCAGAGTTAAAACTGCCCAACTTGCTTTTTGTTTTTGACTAGAATGCTATTGGTCATTTATGCTTGTGTAAGGAAATCATTTTAAGTCCTGGTGGTAAATTGGCACTAATCAACAAGGTGCTAGTTGTGTTTGAGGGTGCACACCTAATCATGTAACTCAGTTCTCCCAGGAACACAACCAGCAGCTAGTTAATGAGACAAAGTTTTCTGCCAAGATTTATGTTTTCCCTTATGAAATGTAAACTGCTGGTAGGATTCTGGCCTCTATTTTTATGTAACACCTGCAACACTGACATAGAACATTGCCTTCAGCCATGATAGTTTTGTTTCACTAGCATATGGGGCAAAGCAGAAGACCAGATGATGGGCAGATGTTAGCTATGTAAAGAATGCTTACTAAATTACAATATTCATTTTCATCAATTTAGCTTTCCTGAAATTGATGAAAAAAATCACACATAAGTTCTCATCCTTAGGCAAGAGCAATACAAGCACCGATATTTTTTCTCATCAAGGTTGTCATAATTTGTACAAGCTCTCTTTGTGTAAACCCATTATCTCTCCTGTTTGAGAAGCAGAGCACAACCCTACACAGCAAGCACAGAACTGACTGATCTTTTTTTTTAAAAAAAGATAAAAATAACCTTTCTGATGCTTCTGATCCTTAAAAATCCATGCAACAGGGCGACAATCACAGTCATTTTGTGTTATTCACATGATTTTGCCAAGTTTTGCTTATTTTGTGCCAAACAAAGGTCCTTGCTCTCATTAACTCCTTTTGTCCATCAGATAGCATGGGCTCTCATGAGGCAACAAAAGTAATTTGCTGGTTTGTCATCCTCACATGAGAAGATGAGAAAAATGGGGAATTTACTGTATATTCTTACCTACTGACAAATTCAGATTCAGTAACAAGCAGCAAACCACACCAATATTTCACATTCTCTCTCTTTTTCTATCCCATAACAGCAGTGTCTCCATTTAGGCCTCCATCCCTGAAGGCCTCACAACCTGCCCTATCCTAGACAGTAAACCTGGCTTCCCGTTATTCTTTTTAATGCAGTGGGTATACTCCACCTATGCCAACAATAACTGCAATTGTGGACTGACAGTGTTCTCTCCAATTGTTTCTTTCTGCTGGTTCCCATGAGCAAAAATGGTGAACTGTGTTTAACTATGAATCCTTCAGAACAATTCCTCCACCAGATCAAACAACAGGTGTTTCACTGGCTCTTCCTAATTGTGTATGGAAAGCTTAGATTGTTCTCAGCTTCAATTACAAGACTGAAGGGTGTAATCCATCGCTTACTGAAACTGGTCCCCTTACTGAAACTGGTGCTGAACTGTGCCTGAAATTGTTGATTATTTCTAGAGTTAGCATTTTGTTGTCCTATATCCATTTGCTAGCTCTGAACTGACTACACTCACTGAATCAATGGAAAATTGGTAATTCAATACTTATCTAAGTTTTATTGATTCATTGAGTGCATTCTGCCTGGTACTAATACTTGGATTTAGGCTGTTATTATATTAAAAATGTCATTTACAAAAAAAACCCCCAAAAACCCTCAATGGATATATTTAAAACATGGGCTTACAAATGTAAATCCGAAATTTGAGACCAATTATTACTCCTCTTACTCTTTGTTTTTACAGTAGCTATGATCTGAATAGTGGCAAAGTTAGAATGTCCAAAGAAAACTACTAACACTTCAGCGTCCATAACTAGGATAAAACAACCAAAGTATCACATGGTTTGAAAGTACATATCATATGGTGTTGACCATTTGAGCTTGTTACTATTACACTAAAAGTAATATTATCAACGTTTGAGAAATTGCACAAAAATCTGAAATACATCACCATATTACATATCCACAAGGGTGAAATTTCACATTTTGAGACCTAACATTTTTGGCCAACACTCTGAAACAATCCAACATGGCGGCTTCCTTGAAAGTTCCAAAGAAAATGTATTTCATCTCTACAATACTTTCCTGTGTGTTTACACTCGTGGTCATGAACATTTTAACTGTTCAAGCAGAAAATTAAGTATGATTTGTATTTTTTGAATTTTGAGTATCAGTGCCCCATTTGTTTCTTCCACAGAACCTGTCCATCCATGATCAGTACTACATATGGCCCTAAAATCGCAAAGTATAAGGGAAACCTATTAGTACCAACTCTTTCTAGTAACTCTCTTGTGACAGCCTGGTGGTGACTCCATTTGTAAACACAACACATTCACAAAAATAGACCGTATTGGGTAAACTCTTTGAACCTCTCTGGACAACCTGATATAATTCTGTCAATTTCCTTGGGAACTTGGAGGGTGCTCAAGGCCCATTGGGTCACAGCGATGACTATCCCTTCTGCCACACTAACAGTACCCTAAAAGAAAGCTCTACATCTATTCCATGTGGCACAGTACTAAATGATTTGTTTTTAAAGCAGTACTTTAAAGGTCCTCATTTCAGAAGAGACTGTAATTCTTTTCCTAAGAGAAGCCACAGAATTATGCCATAGGCTCCCAACTGCTGAAGTCTGATACTACATTAATGTAGGTCAAGTGTCTGCTGAATTTCTGAGGTTGTGCTTGCGCATGAGGGTTTCAGAAGTCACATTTCACATTCTTAGCAACACCAACAGTTAATAAGATGTTGAGGCTTCTAGGTACCTCTTGTTGCCCTTGACGTCATGCCCTGATTAAGCAGACACACATAATTGTTCTGTTCGTCTGCTTTGCTCCTCTTCTATTTTTCTGTTCCTCCTTTTTTTAAAAAAATCATCTTCTGCAAAACTTTTCAGTTGTTAGTTCAATTACTTGTGACAGGGAGAATGTGGAAGAGAATCCTAATTCTTGTCAGGTCAGGTACACCAAACCAGGCCAAAGAAACACAGAAAAAGACCAAGGGACACAATTTATCAAAGGAGGGCCCCTCTCCCTCCCCCTGGCCACCAATCAGGCCCTTTGCTAGACGTCCAGCTACTGGCCTATCTGTCAGTTTAATGGCCAAATTCCTGGAAAGGCGTACAAAAGGAATACTTTCCTATAATAAATCTGCCACCGTCTCTTTAATAGCGATCAACATATAAACACGGAGCGATCTGAGTGCCAAATATAGGAACGACTTTTTAAAAATCGATCAAAATTTCTCCCCCTTCCTGGAGAAGGGAGGAAAGGGGGGGCTTTCCCAGCAATTCTTTTTTTTTTTAATTAAAGGTTCCGGTACCCCCCCCATCTCCCCAAACTATGGAGCCCTCCCCTCCTTCAGGTAAATGGCAACACCCCATCTGGCAAAACACGTGTTGGCTTCTCTCCATCACCATCATCAGCTCCTCAGGAAGGATGGGCTCGGCGAGTGAGGGGATCGGTGGGGGGGTAGGGAAGCCGAAATCGCTGGGGGGGCATCATCACCCAGGGACCGAGGAGCGCGGGGACTGGGGGGGGGAAGAGTTTACCTTGGATTCCTGGCTAGTGGTGGAGGCAGCCGGAGAAGGGGGTTGCTCGGGGCTCTCGGCGTCATTCTCCTTCTCCGCGCTCTCCGGGCAGACTTCGTGAGCGTCGCTGGGCGGAATCATGTTGCATCTGACCCGGCGGGCGGCCGAGCCTGCCTGCCTGCCTGTCAGGGAAGCCGAGCGGCTCCTCGGCTCTATTTCACATGTTCCCGCGGTCCCATTCCTCCGCAGCCGAGCAACTCTTCCCGCTGGACCCGCGCTTGGCTGAAGGGATTTTCGCGTTTAAAAAACCCGGCGGGGCTCCCTCTTTCCCTTCCTCTCTCTCCCTCCGCCTCTGAGCGACGTAAAAATAATAATGATGATGATGATGAGATTAAAAGAAGAAGAAGTC